TTTTTCAACTCGAAGACTGCGTAAGGTCTTACCTAATATTAAGACGGCTTCTTTTTTGCAAGTAACCATCAACACCACATGTAAAGGCCTATCAATAATTATATTTCTCTGGTAATAATATTCATTGTGCAGCGCACAGCACAGAAAGGGCCACGATTTGTCGCCATGAGCAGACCACGCGAAATACCCCCGGAGTGATGGAAGCCGATACATCAACGCCACGGTTGACTCAAAGTCATCATATCCCAACTTGCTTCTAGAAGCTCGCACAACGGACCCCATCGTGTTAGCTACGAATCGGCAAGACCATGAAGATTGCTGCTCTCGCCGTTGCCACTGCCATCGCTGTCACGAGCGTTGCTGCTGCTGATCAGCCCGCTCTTCGTTCGGGTACTACGCCTGCCGAGGTGAATCCTACTGCGGGGAAGAGTGCTGAAGGAAAGAAGAAGGAATTCTGGGGATGGGGAGGACCTTGGGGTGGATGTTGTGGCATGGGCGGCTGGGGTGGAGGCTGGGGAGGTGGCTGGGGTGGTCCCGGTGGCTGGGGAGGCTGGGGTGGTGCCGGTGGCTGGGGGTGGTAGATGGTACCAAGGATTAATGAAGAGCGTAAAGTGTGAGCTGCAGGCAAAGATTCTCTTCTTCGGCCATCGTGTTTGAGCTGCTCCGCTTGCTATCAATCGGGTTATCTGCAATGCTCGGTTTATTTGGATCTCTTGACTGGCACTATCAAACAAATCAAGAATGAAATGCGATGAAAGTCTTGCTGGTTTTGCTACTTTTTTTTCTATTATGTTGTCCACTTATCCTCTCTACGGAGCAATTGATTGCGTTGATCACTTCAAACTCAGGGATCATGCCGCCCCAGTATAGAACTTTGCTTTTAGCATTCGCTTCATCATGTTTTGCTTACAAGTTATGCAAATTTAGAGTATCTTCAGGAGTGTAGCAAAACAGCAAAAAATGAGCGCCAACCCTAGAAAATGACGCGATCGATGATGTGCTGAAATAAACTAAAAAATGCGCCAACTTGTAAGCGCTTGCAAATCCCACGGCGCGCTGGTCAACCACCTAACATCCCATTGTCCCAATGACCTACTTAGTAAACCGGAATGCTTATCTATATTAAATCTGGGCTATGCGTAGGCGGGGATAGCAAAATATAAAACTAAGATCTCCTTCCGGCTTTCATACCCTTATGTAGAGTTATTTATTAATACCACACAAATAACACATTTATTACGGTTGATCCACAAGTATCAGAAGAGTTATATTTTACATTATTTTGTGTCGATCCACAGTGACTAAGAAAACAGCTTTCGTTGCGAGTGAGACCGTACAAAACGTCATAGACGGTAAATAGTCTAGGCTCGTGAGCGATGTACTGTACCTGCAATATTTCGATGACCTAATAAAAAGCTGAAGTCAAATAGCTATTTCAGCTAGATTTTATTCTGATTCTTAAGGTGTTGAGGTTCATACCTAAATTTTGAAAAAAGCAAATCCCTCGCAAACTTGGTTTCCTCATTGATGTTTAGACCTGTTTTCCACAAAGCATTGAGCTGCTAAAATTAGGCAGATTTATTGAAATCGCTAGTTTTTTTAGCGAAATCACGTTTTTCAACAATAAAGACGGCTTCTTTTTTGCAAGTAACCATCAACACGTAAAGGCCTATCAATAATTATAATTCTCTGGTAATAATATTCATTGTGCAGCGCACAGCACAGAAAGGGCCACGATTTGTCGCCATGAGAAGACCACGCGAAATACCCCCGGAGTGATGGAAGCCGATACATCGACGCCACGGTTGACTCAAAGTCACCATATCCCAACTTGCTTCTAGAAGCTCGCACAACGGACCCCATCGTGTTAGCTACGAATCGGCAAGACCATGAAGATTGCAGCTCTCGCCGTTGCCACTGCCATCGCTGTCACGAGCGTTGCTGCTGCTGATCAGCCCGCTCTTCGTTCGGGTACTACGCCTACCGAGGTGAATCCTACTGCGGGGAAGAGTGCTGAAGGAAAGAAGAAGGAATTCTGGGGATGGGGAGGACCTTGGGGTGGATGTTGTGGCATGGGCGGCTGGGGTGGAGGTTGGGGAGGTGGCTGGGGTGGTCCCGGTGGCTGGGGAGGCTGGGGTGGTGCCGGTGGCTGGGGGTGGTAGATGGTACCAAGGATTAATGAAGAGCGTAAAGTGTGAGCCGCAGGCAAAGATTCTCTTCTTCGGCCATCGTGTTTGAGCTGCTCCGCTTGCTATCAACCGGGTTATCTGCAATGCTCGGTTTATTTGGATCTCTTGACTGGCACTATCAAACAAATCAAGAATGAAATGCGATGAAAGTCTTGCTGGTTTTGCTACTTTTTTCTATTAGGTTGTCCACTTATCCTCTCTACGGAGCAATTGATTGCGTTGATCCCTTCAAACTCAGGGATCATGCCGCCCCAGTATAGAACTTTGCTTTTAGCATTCGCTTCATCATGTTTTGCTTACAAGTTATGCAAATTTAGAGTATCTTCAGGAGTGTAGCAAAACAGCAAAAAATGAGCGCCAACCGTAGAAAATGACGCGATCGATGATGTGCTGAAATAAACTAAAAAATGCGCCAACTTGTAAGCGCTTGCAAATCCCACGGCGCGCTGGTCAACCACCTAACATCCCATTGTCCCAATGACCTACTTAGTAAACCGGAATGCTTATCTATATTAAATCTGGGCTATGCGTAGGCGGGGATAGCAAAATATAAAACTAAGATCTCCTTCCGGCTTTCATACCCTTATGTAGAGTTATTTATTAATACCACACAAATAACACATTTATTACGGTTGATCCACAAATATCAGGAGAGTTATATTTTACATTATTTTGTGAAACAGCTTTCGTTGCGAGTGAGGCCGTACAAAACGTCATAGACGGTAAATAGTCTAGGCTCGTGAGCGATGTACTGTACCTGCAATATTTCTATGACCTAATAAAAAGCTGAAGTCAAATAGCTATTTCAGCTAGATTTTATTCTGATTCTTAAGGTGTTGAGGTTCATACCTAAATTTTGAAAAAAGCAAATCCCTCGCAAACTTGGTTTCCTCATTGATGTTTAGACCTGTTTTCCACAGAGCAGCTATTTCGATTGAGCTGCTAAAATTAGGCAGATTTATTGAAATCGCTATTTTTTTTTTGCGAAATCACGTTTTTCAACAATAAAGACGGCTTCTTTTTTGCAAGTAACCATCAACACCACATGTAAAGGCCTATCAATAATTATATTTCTCTGGTAATAATATTCATTGTGCAGCGAACAGGCCACGATTTGTCGCCATGAGCAGACCACGCGAAATACCCCCGGAGTGATGGAAGCCGATACATCGACGCCACGGTTGACTCAAAGTCACCATATCCCAACTTGCTTCTAGAAGCTCGCACAACGGACCCCATCGTGTTAGCTACGAATCGGCAAGACCATGAAGATTGCTGCTCTCGCCGTTGCCACTGCCATCGCTGTCACGAGCGTTGCTGCTGCTGATCAGCCCGCTCTTCGCTCGGGTACTACGCCTACCGAGGTGAATCCTACTGCGGGGAAGAGTGCTGAAGGAAAGAAGAAGGAATTCTGGGGATGGGGAGGACCTTGGGGTGGATGTTGTGGCATGGGCGGCTGGGGTGGAGGCTGGGGAGGTGGCTGGGGTGGTCCCGGTGGCTGGGGAGGCTGGGGTGGTGCCGGTGGCTGGGGGTGGTAGATGGTACCAAGGATTAATGAAGAGCGTAAAGTGTGAGCTGCAGGCAAAGATTCTCTTCTTCGGCCATCGTGTTTGAGCTGCTCCGCTTGCTATCAACCGGGTTATCTGCAATGCTCGGTTTATTTGGATCTCTTGACTGGCACTATCAAACAAATCAAGAATGAAATGCGATGAAAGTCTTGCTGGTTTTGGTACTTTTTCTATTAATGGTTGTCCACTTATCCTCTCT